GGACAAAGGGAGGGGGCTGGGAAAAGAGTAGGGTTGCAGAGTTCTCCATCACCTGGAGAGGAGAGGAGATCCCCTTGAATGGAGAAGTAATGAACTCATGTGTCATTGATGGTACAAATGTAAATGATGATGATGATAATAATGATGCATTTTCATTGTTGGGGGTCACCCACAGTGCTGTGAAGTGGGCAGAGGTACAATCTCTGGGTGCTGAGCAAAGGGATGGTCTGGATAGGCCCTTTCCTTGCTCCAGCCCAGAGGATTCTACCTTGATAACCTCCCAGCAGTTGTCCTTGTATGGTGCTGGACAGCTGGTTGGGACTTGTAGTTCCACGGCCAAGACAGCACTGTGGAGTGACCAAAATGTGGCTCCATTAGCATGCAAGCTGTGAGCTTCCCTGCTGAGAAAGGTAAACAGCAGCTTGACTGGGACAGTGAGAAGCTGGGAATGAACAGTCTACCAGCCGGAGGCTTGAGGACTGAAAGAGTTAACCCGCTGCTCATGGTGTCCAGTCAGCCTAGGAGACAGGTAGTGAGAGTGTCACCTTATATGGCCTGTCAAGGTGTATGGGGAAAATCTGAAACCAGGGAGGAAGTCACCTCCAACTATTTCTGTCTTAGATTCACCCCCCAAAAACTATCTAGGACAACGTATGTCATAGGCCGTGGCAGCACACCTGGATTAGAGGTGCCAGGGGTCCTATTGGAGTTGATAGCCGGTCCTCAAAGAGGGAGCTTTGGCCCTCAGCTCCAATCACCCTTCCTTTCCATTCAGGTACAGCAGCTGCTGGCCAGGCCTATGGTAAATGATGTTTGGGTTCAGAGAAACCCTGGGAGAGCTCACCATGCTGTTCATGAGTTGGATGGCAAGGTGTATCCTTCCCTCATGCCTTTGGCCCACCTCATCTCACAGGAGGTGCAGACAGAATGGGCCAAAGAGACAGAGGGGTCTAAGTCCCAGTCCGCTTGTTCACCAGGGCTCCTGATGGTGGGGATGGACTTGGAGCAGACTGAGACCAGGTCGCGACCCCTGAGTACGTCCGGCTATAGTAGGGGTTACCGTCAGAGGTGTGCGGGGAATAGAGCCTGATGTGAAGAGGCTGGCAGGCCTGGCAGCAGGGACTGATCCATGCGGGATGGATGGATGGACGGTCAGTGTAAGGTAAGGCGTAGTCAGGCGGACCGGGTCAGCAACGTGCGGGCAGCGAGGTAGCAGAGGAGCAGACAGAGAATGTCAGGTCAAGCCGAGTTCAGCAACGGGGGATCAAACGTAAGGAGCAGGCAGGAGAGTGGTCAGGTCAGGCCAGGGATCAAGCAGGAGACAATCAGCAGGTTCAGGATCAAGCAGAGGTCGGCAACAGGGAAGCTTCACTAATAGAACACAGGAACAGATTAATTAGACCAAAAGGCAATGCACATACCTTCTGGCTCATTTAAATAGCGCGCCCTGCACTGTCATTGGTGTCAGGCGCATGTCCGTGATCGCTAGTGCGCGGCCATCGCTGTTGCCACGATCGCCCAGGTCCCGCCGCTCGTCGCCGGCTAGAGCGCGTCGGTGTTCTGCGCATGCGCCGCCCGGCGTATCGCTGCAGAACCCTGATCCCTGACACAAATTCATAAATCCCGACAGGAACAAGTAAAAAACAAAGCATATATTCAGATAGGTCATTTTAATACAAGTCACCTGATACCTTACACCCCTAGGTAACGTCTACCAGAGAGTAGAAAGCGATATCTTTGTATTCGTCACAGCCGGATATGTCATATTTGATGTCTGGACGTTCAGAATATGGTTCTGCATATTAATCTGCCAGTGGATAGGATGCTCCATGTACCTAGTGAATGTTATTGACCATGGTATAAACTTGGGAGGGATTGGGGTCGCAGTCTGGGTCTCCGCCTAACACCCCTACCCAAATGAGGCGATTGGCCCTTGGCTTCAGTAAACACCCCCTGCTGGGACACTAGAAAAGGCTGTCATGCCTGGAGAGAGGTATGAAGAGATTCTCCCTTTTAACATCAGGAACCATCTTTGGGAGAAAGGGCTCCCTTTTGTTCAGGACACTTGAACTCTGCTTCAACCCAGGACTTCTGCAAGTATCCTACCTTCTGAAACTTCTCTCTGTTATCTCTCTGCTGTGGTATTGCTCTCTCTATTTATATATATTGGTTACATCTTTTCTGTAAATATTTTTATTGCACCATTTTGACCGTTTTAGTAATAAATCCTATTTTCTGAAAAGTGTTGAACTGTTTCTAAAGCTCTTTAATACAAACTAAGAATCCCTGCCTCTGAAGAGCACTACTGTGTGTTTTAAAACCTCTATATCTCTGCCTGTGGTGACAGTGTGTATACAGACGATTATCCAATCATCATAGTGCTACTGCTAAGATTTGTGAGTTTCCTCCTCTGTAAAAAGGAGGTGGTGGCAGTGTGAAGGGTTAATTGCGTAATTAACCTAACCCAGTAACAATCGCTCTCAGGCTGCTGACACATAGATTGTGGTCCATTAACTGGAAAATCTTTGTGCAGGGTGCAGCTGAGAGTGGCATTGTTACGCACATGACAGCGCGGTTTTAGATTGGCTAGTCCTTCGGTCACAAGTTGGTGAGAAGAGCTGGGGTCTGATGCCGCGATCGCCACAGGTGGGGCCTGGTTAGTACCTGGATGGGAGATCGCCTGGGAATACCAGGTGCTGTAGGCTTTTTGCTTTTGGTAGGCTTTTTTTTTTGGGCCCAAATGGCCAGCTTGCCAGGACCCAGTTCAAGAAGATCGAGGGCCCCAAAGATATCCTTCTATGGCCACATCACTCTGAATGCGCCCGATCTTGTCTGATCTTGGAAGCTAAGCAGCGTAGGGCCTGGTTAGTACCTGGATGGGAGACCGCCTGGGAATACCAGGTGCTGTAGGCTTTTGTTTTTGGGCCCAAATGGCCAGCATGCCAGGCCAAGCCCCAGTTCAAGAAGATCGAGGGCCCAATGGTAACCACCTACGGCCACATCACCCTGCGAATGCGCGTAGGGCCTGGTTAGTACCTGGATGGGAGACCGCCTGGGAATACCAGGTGCTGTAGGCTTTTGTCTTTTGCTCGGCTTCTTTTTCGGCTCAAATGGCCAGCTTGCCAAGCACCAATTGAAGTAGAATCTTGTCTGATCTTGGAAGCTAAGTAGAGACAGGCCTGGTTAGTACCCGGGATGGGAGACCGCCTGAGAATACCAGGTGCTGTAGGCTTGTTTTTGGGCCCAAATGGACAGCTTGCCAGGTCCCATTTCAAGAAGAATGAGGGCCCCAAAGATAACCGCTTAAGGCCACATCATCCTGAATGCGCCCGATCTTGTTTAATTTCAGAAGTTAAGCAGGGTTGGGCCTGGTTAGTACCTGGATGGAAGACAACGTGAGAATTCCAGGTGCTGTAGGCTTTGTGCTTTTGATAGCCTTATTTTTGTGCCCAAATGGCCAGCTTCCAGGCCCCAGTTCAAGAAGATCGAGGGCCCCAATAAAAACCACCTATGGCCATATCACCCTGAATGTGCCTGATCTCATCTGATCTCAGAAGCTAAGCAGTGTAGGGCCTGGTTAGTACCTGGATGGGAGACCGCCTAGCAATACCAGGTGCAGTAGGTTTGTGTTTGGGTCCAAATGGCCAGCTTGCCAGGCCCCAGTTCAAGAAGATCGAGGGCCCCAACAATAACCGCCTACGACCACATCATCCTGACTGCGTCTGATCTCTACACTCCACCGAAAACCGCCTTACTCAAAATCACTAATGACCTGCTAACCGCCAAAGCCAATGGCCACTACTCAAACCTCTTACTCCTCGACCTCTCCGCAGCCTTTGACACAGTTGAACCACCCCCTCCTCCCTAATAAACTACACTCCCTCGGCATCAGCGACTCCGCTCTCTCCTGGCTCTCCTCCTATCTCTCCAAACGCTCCTTCAGCGTTACCTATAATGCTACCACCTCCCCCTCTCTCCCCCTCTCTGTTGGGGTCCCCCAAGGCTCTGTCCCTGGGCCCCTTCTCTTCTCCATCTACACCTCCTCACTCGGCAAACTGATACACTCCCACGGCTTCAGCTATCACCTCTACACCGATGACACGCAAATTTACCTCTCCACCCCTCGCCTCACCCCTTCAGTCTCCACCCATATCACCCACCTGCTGAACAACATATCAGACTGGATGTTGCTCCATTTCCTCAAATTAAACCTTTCCAAAACCGAGCTCCTGATTTTCCCCCCCAGCCCGTGCCCCCATCCTCATCCATCACGACCATCAGTCCCACCCTGCAAGCCAAAGTCCTAGGTGTCACTCTAGACTCAGATCTGTCCTTCCAACCCCATGTCCAATCGTTAGCAAACACATGCAGACTCCACCTCCGCAACATCTCCAAGATACGTACGTTCCTAACCCCAGACACTACTAAACAACTCGTTCACTCCCTTATTATCTCACGTCTGGACTACTGCAACTCCCTCCTCACTGGCTGTAAGAGACTCCGGTAGTAGCTCTATAGGTCCACAGTTTGGGGTTCCCCAGGGCGCGGAGTCTAAGCCCCAGACTGCTTGTTCACCAGAGCCCCTGATGGTGGGGATGGACTTGGAGCAGGCTGAGTCCAGGTCGCGGCCCCCGGGTACACCCAGCTGCGGTAGAGGGATCCGCTAGAGTCACGTATCTTAGTGGTGAGCCTGATGTGAAGAGGCAGAGCGGACCTGAGCAGGGAAACGGATGGGTCTGTGCGGGATGGATGGATGCGGATGCACCGAGAAGGCAGAGCAGAACAGAGCAGCAGCAGGTGGAAGGATAGTCGGGTCACAGGCCAAGTTCAGCAACGGGAGGTACAACAATCAGGAGCAAGCAGAAGAATATCCAGAGACAAGCCAGGGGTCAGGGCAGGGAGAAGGTCAGCAGTAGTCAGGAGCAGGCTGGGTCAGCAACAGGAAACAACTCAGAGTCCGGAATCTCAGGCAGGGAATTAGACCATACGGCAATTTGGATCCTGCAGTGGCCCATTTAAATAGCCCACCCAGCACCGTCATTGATGTCAGGTGCGCCTGGGTCCTAGTGCCCGCCTTCCTGTATGTCTTGTCGGGACCCTGCTCATGTGCAGATTCGTGCACCGCGGCGATCTTCTCTGACATCTCCTACCTCATCACAGACTATCCCCACTTCAGTCTATCCTGAACTCAGCGGCCAGACTCCTCCGGCCAACCGACTCCGTATCCACCACCCCCCTCTGCCAATCCCTCCACTGGCCTCCATTCAGTGTCCTCCACCCCTCTCTGCCAATCCCTCCACTGGCCTCCACTCAGTGTCCTCCACCCCTCTCTGCCAATCCCATCACTGGCCTCCATTTAGTGTCCTCCACCCCCCCTCTGTCATTCCCTCCACTGGCTTCCACAGTGGCCTCCATCCCCTCTGCCAATCTCTCCACTGGCCTCCACTCAGTGTCCTCCACCCCCCTCTGCCAATCCCTCCACTGGCCTCCACTCAGTGTCCTCCACCCCTCTCTGCCAATCCCTCCACTGGCCTCCACTCAGTGTCCTCCACCCCTCTCTGCCAATCCCCCATCACTGGCCTCCATTTAGTGTCCTCCACCCCCCTCTGTCATTCCCTCCACTGGCTTCCATTCAGTGTCCTCCATCCCCTCTGCCAATCCCTCCACTGGCCTCCACTCAGTGTCCTCCACCCCTCTCTGCCAATCCCTCCACTGGCCTCCACTCAGTGTCCGCCACCCCCCTCTGTCATTCCCTCCACTGGCCTCCACTCAGTGTCCTCCACCCCTCTGTCATTCCCTCCACTGGCTCCCGATTGCCCAGTGCATTAAATTCAATCTACTAACACTGACCTACAAAGCCATTCATAACTCCGCCCCAAACTACCTCACCGACCTGATACCCAAATACCACCCAACCGTAATCTTTGCTCCTCACAAGACCTCCTACTCTCTAGTTCCCTGGTCTCCTCCTCCCACGCCCGACTCCAGGACTTCTCCAGGACTTCCCCCATCCTCTGGAACTCACTACCCCAATCCATCAGACTGTCACCTACCCTCCTCACCTTTAGGCGCACCCTGAAAACCCATCTCTTCAGGGAAGCCTACCCCGCCCTCACTTAACAGCCAATCTCCTCCACTCCTCCTACCACTCCATCCCCCACAGCCACTTTCCCCTGTACCACTGCCCTCCCTCCTAGATTGTAAGCTCCAAGGATCAGGGCCCTCGAACCCCTCGTGTATTGTATTGTTACTGTATTGTCTCATGTTCTGTCCCCCCCACTATATTGTACAGTGCTGACCGAACCTGGTGCTATATAAATCCTGTATAATTATGTTATGCCTTCAGCAATTTGTTCTTTGTTAATTAGGTATTATTAGTATGCCTTATCAGTTTGTAATTCTCTGTTCATTGTGTAACTGCTCCATCTAGTGGCTGTTTGTATACACTGCATCTTTTCACAGTAGAAGTTTGACCCATTTCAGCTTCCATAGCTTGTAGCCTATGAACTCTGATTACATCATCAGCCCTGCTCATAGCAGCCATTTCCTCATCACAGACTCCATTCCTGTGGTAACCACGCTGCTGGTAGGATCCAACCCTCACATTCAGGTTCACAATAGCATCGTCGGTACGTCTACACACATGTCTATATCTTATGCATCTGTGTTTTATGTAACCTACATGTCTTACATGTGTTTATATGTGCATTGCCTTACTGTAATGTATAATATGCTTTGTCACATGGCAGACAGTGTTACTAAGCGCCTTATTTTCTGTTCCTCAGTTTCACCTCTTATATCTTTGCAATAAAGACAAAGTTGGACGTTGCTTCTTTGTCAACTCATTGCCGAGAAAGGTTTAGCTGTCTGTCAAGCTATGTACCTTCACACATAAGGAGGACAGAACAATAATAATAATGTTGGCAGCTAAGCAGGGGTAGGGTCTGGTTAGTACCTGGATGGGAGACTGTATAAAAATATGTGGAGCGCTAATCAGTAAATTATAATAAAATATATAAGAAATGTCCCCAATGATAAGAACATAAGTTAGTGACAGTCTCTATATGATGAATATAGCGTGATCTACAGCTTTCAATCCAGTGGTGTGCTCCCAGTGGTAAAGTAAGAATTCCGCACTCACCAGAAGTGTGATTTAATTACGCAGTTTGTAAATCAACACGGATCCACTTCACCGATATAGGTCTGGACTGGAACTCAGGGTAGGTTCTCCTTCAAGATGATATGGGTATGAGCCCTCAATGGATGTAGGTAGATCCATCTGGCCAGAGGTCCCTTTAAGGGATAGGTGGGTAAAGATGCCTTTTTACAGGCGCTTCCCTCTCTGGGTCTGGTGAACAGGAGACTGGATCGCAGCAGGGCTCTATAAATAATAAAACGCCTTACTATTCTGTCTAGGATCCAAACACCTCTTCCTAAGCCATCCTGCAGTGTAATGGACCAAATTCATAGTTTCTACTATGAAAGCAAAGCTAATATCCTCCCTGGAGACCAAGCATTTTTCCTTGCTCATTATCTTCCTAGACACTAGTCTTCTCACCACCAAGTGTACTCCTGCTTGTGCAGTCTATGAGAGAGCACCCAGCAGCTGGAAGCATTGCCTTCACCAACAGCAGGTGTGCACATCAAGCAGGCAGTGATGTGGATCTGGATGGAAGACCGCCTGGGAATACCAGGTGCTGTAGGCTTTTGTCTTTTGCTCGGCTTCTTTTTCGGCTCAAATGGCCAGCTTGCCAAGCCCCCCATTTAAGTAGATTGAGGGCTCCAAGAAGAAGCACCTACGGCCACATCACTCTGAATGCGCCCGATCTCGTCTGATCTCGGAAGCTAAGCAGCGTAGTGCCTGGTTAGTACCTGGATGGGAGACCGCCTGGGAATACCAGGTGCTGTAGGCTTGTTTTTGAGCCCAAATGGCAGGCTTGCCAGGCCCCAGTTCAAGAAGATCGAAGGCTCAAAAGACAACCACCCACGGCAACATCACCCTGTATGCGTCGATCTTGTCTGATCTAAGAAACTAAACAGGGTTGGGCCTGCATGGAAGACCGCCTGGGAAAACAATGTGCTGTTACTGTAGGACTTTTGATTTTGATAGCCTTGCTTTTGTGCCCAAATGGCCAGCTTCCAGGCCCCGATTCAGGAAGATCGAGCGCCCCAAAAATAACAGCCTAAGGCCACATCACTCTGAATGCCCTCAATCTTGTCTGATTTCGGAAGTTAAGAAGGGTTGAGCCTGGTTAGTACCTCGATGGGAGACTGCCTGGGAGTACCAGGTGCTATAGGCTTTTTGCTTTTGTTAGACATGTTTCTGGCCCCAAATGGCCAGCTTGCCAGGCCCCAGTTCAAAAAGATCAAGGGCCTAAAAAATAACCACCTTCGTCCACGTCACCCTGAACATCCTGATCTCTGGAAGCTAAGCAATGTCAGGCCTGGCTAGTGCCTGGCCTGGGTGGGCGACCGCCTTGGAATACCAGGTGCTGCAGGCTTTTTGGTTTTTGGTAGGCTAGTTTTTGGGCCCTAATGGCCAGCTTGCCAGGCCCCAGTTCAAGAAGATTGAGGACCCCAAAAATAAATGCTGATGGCCACATCACCCTGAATGCCCCCAATCTTGTCAACTCTCAGAAGGTAAGCAGGGTTGGGCCTGGTTAGTACCTGGGTGGGTGACTGCCTGGGAATACCAAGTACTGTAGGCTTTTTGCTTTTGGTAGGCTTGTATTTGGGCCCAAATTTCCAGCTTGCAAGGCCCCAGTTCAAGAAGATCGAGGGCCACAACAATAACTGCCTACGGCCACAGCACCCTGAATGCGCCCGATCTCGTCTGATCTCGGAAGCTAATAAGGGTTGGTCCTTTTTAGTAACTGGATGGCAGACCGCCTGGGAATACCAGGTGCTGTAGGCTTTTTGTTTTTAGTAGGCTTGTTTTTGGGCCCAAATGGCCAGCTTCCAGGCTCCAGTTTAAGAAGATCGAGGGCCCCAATCATAATTGCCTACGGCCACATCACCCTGAATGTGTCTCATCTCAGAAACTAAGCAGGGTCAGGCCTGGTTAGTATCTGGATGTAGACTGCCTGGGAAAACAAAGTGGTGTTGCTGTAGGCTTTTTGTTTTTGGGCCCAAATGGCCAGCTTGCCAGGTCCCAGTTCAAGAAGATCGAGGGCCCCAACAATAACTGCCTATGGACACATCATCCTGAATGCGCCCGATCTCGTCTGATCTCAGAAGGTAAGCAGGGTGGGGCCTGGTTAGTACCTGGATTGGAGACCGCCTGGGAATACAGGTGCTGTAGGCTTTTGGGTTTTGCTCGGCTTGTTTTTGGGCTCAAATGGCCAGCTTGCCAAGCCCCAATTTAAGTCGATTGAGGGCTCCAAAGAGAAGCGCCTACGGCCACATCACTCTGAATGCGCCCGATCTCGTCTGATCTCGGAAGCTAATAAGGGTTGGTCCTTTTTAGTAACTGGATGGCAGACCGCCTGGGAATACCAGGTGCTGTAGGCTTTTTGTTTTTAGTAGGCTTGTTTTTGGGCCCAAATGGCCAGCTTCCAGGCTCCAGTTTAAGAAGATCGAGGGCCCCAATCATAATTGCCTACGGCCACATCACCCTGAATGTGTCTAATCTCATCTCAGAAACTAAGCAGGGTCAGGCCTGGTTAGTATCTGGATTGGAGACCGCCTGGGAATACCAGGTGCTGTAGGCTTTTGGCTTTTGCTCGGCTTCTTTTTCGGCTCAAATGGCCATCTTGCCAGGCCCCAATTTAAGTAGATTGAGGGCTCCAAAAGAAAGCGCCTACGGCCGCATTACCCTGAATGCATCTGATCTCGGAAGCTAAGCAGAGTAGGGCCTGGTTAGTACCTGGATGGGAGACTGCCTGGGAATACCAGGTGCTGTAGGCATTTGCTCAGCTTCTTTTTCGGCTCAAATGGCCAGCTTGCCAAGCCCCAATTTAAGTAGATTGAGGGCTCCAAAAAGAAGCGCCTACTGTTCTGTTCCCGAATGAAGGTATAACTGATAATGGCTGTTTAACTTCCTACCCTCGTATCCAAGCAGTGGAGCAGACTGGACCGGCAGATGCTCAGGTTAGACGGATCCAAACGTATATACGGGAATGAAATCAGCGTGGGTTTATTTGGTCCAAATACAGCGACAAACAGTGATACAATACTGTAATGTAGTAGAGGTATTGATGCTGTTCTGTGATATCTTTCCTGAGGCCAACTGCTGGTCAAAAACTGATGCCTTCACAAGCCCAGGGCATTGAATGTCCTGTCACACAGCTATAAAGCACATAAAATGGCTGCAGGAAGTGACCAGAACCAAGGCTTGCCTAAAACCACGCCCAGCAGAGA